CGAGGCCCATGCGCGCGCAGCACCACTCCATCTTCAGGGCGCTCCAGCTGTCCTCCGGCAGAGGAGGGAGGAGGAGGAGGAGGGGGAGGAGGGGGAGGAGGAGGAGGAGGAGGAGGAGGAGGAGGAGGAGGAGGAGGAGGAGGAGAAGGAGGAGGAGGAGGGTCACGGACATCTGCGGCAGGCTCGCGCCGTGCCGCCTTCGGCTCTGGCTCCCGACACCGCGGGGATCGCTCCACCTTGAGCCATCGGCTATCCCCGGAGCGTCAGGTCGTTCAGCATCGACCGCTCCTGGGTCGCCGGCGGCGCTCCACGTTGAACGCCGGCGGCGGGACGCGAACCGAGGAGGCGAAGTGGAGGAGGCGACGAGGAGGAGGAGGAGGCGAGGAGGAGGAGGAGGAGGAGGAGGAGAAGGCGAGGACGAGGCGAGGAGGCGAGGATGAGGATGAGGATGAGGATGAGGATGATGATGATGATGATGAGGAGGAGGAGGAGGAGGAGGCAAGGATGACGAGGAAGAGAATGACGAGGACGAGGAGGAGGAGGAGGAGGAGGCGAGGATGAGGATGAGGACGAGGATGAGGATGAGGATGAGGATGAGGATGAGGATGAGGAGGAGGAGGAGGAGGAACTCGTCCGTCGTTGTCCGCCTCCGTGGGTCCCCAGCGGCACAAAAACACAACCTTCCGGACGTCGTTGTCGGCCTACGTGGGTCCCCAGCGGCACAAAAACACAACCTTCCGGAGAGCCTTCTGGCTCGGTTGGGCCGGTGCTGGGCCCCCCCTCCGTCGCGCGCGGAGCCGGGAGCGGCGCTGGAGGCGTCGCCAGTGGAGGGCCAGCGTCTGCGCGGACCTCGCAAAGCTTGTCCCTTTTTTCTTGAAAGGAGGAAGTGTACGGAGGGGACCTTGACCTTCGCTTCCGGGTTGGGAGGGATCCAGCGGGGCGACGAAGCAGCACCCGATCTTGAGAGGGAGGGCCAGTAGCGGGGGCGCGCAAGCATGGATTAGCGACCGATGGATTTGGCGCTCGGTCGCCAATTCCATGGATCGGGGGAGGGGTCCTCCACAAAATGCGGCCGGTGCCGCCTCGTTCGGCGGCGGAAATCCGCGATTTCCCATGGAAACAGGACCCGCCGCTAATCCACGCCCCCTCGATCCATGTTTGCGATCGCCTGGCAGTAGCTCCTCCTCCAGGCGCTGCCGTTGAACGTCGCAATCACCGCCCCCGCCCCCAGGGATAGCCCGCGAGCCGGGGCTCGGGGTCGTGTGCGGCCAGGATCCCCAGCACTTTTGGGTCTCTCCTGCTGCTCTGGAGCCTCCGCCGTGCAGGTCTGCTACACGGCGCTCAAAATATGGGAACGAAGAACGACATAACCAGAAAAACTCAGAGGTCCGCGCGGATTTCTCGGATCGGCGCTGGACCTCTCTCCCTGGCGCGCAGAGCGCGCCAGGGGCGGCGCCAGAGGCGCCGCCAGGGGGTCCAGCGCGGATCCAAGAAATCCGAGCGGACCTCAGAGTTTGTATGTAGTTGTAATTATTCGTTCCCCTAGAGAAGGGGAAGAAGGAGAAGAGGTAACGGATGAGGTAAGGATCGAAACGCAATCAGGCGCGGCGGCCCACCCACCCGCTGCATGAGTCTTGCATTGGCTCGAGGCCCTCACTTCAGAAACGTCTCATCTGGCTGCCTGACCAACTCATTCCCCAAGCAGTGCTTGCACTTAGGGGTTCTAACTTCTCTTCTCAGGAGCTGGGCCTGTCTGTCGGTCTGGCGGCTACGTTGCCACCGTCGCCGCCCCGTCGCAGCCTCGTCGCAGCCCTTCGTCTTGGCCTGTCTGTTGGTCTGGCGGCTGTGTTGCCGCCGTCGCTGTCCCGTCGCCGCCCTAGATTGTACCTTATATGTGTACATATATATATATATATATATAGACACTAGAACCAACGATCGCGCTCAAATTCTAGCGCATGCCAGGGGGTGGTTCCACAAGCGGGTGCGGCTGCGGGATCGCAGAGCAGGAGTCAGAGTCATGATCGCTGTCAAGATCATGATCGCCATCATCAGCGTCATCGACGTAGTTCAGAACATCGTGATCCTCATCCTGATCATCCTCATCATCAGCATCATCATCATCACCACTACCATCGTCGTCGTCGTCGCCGTCGTCATAATATTCAGCATAGTCGTCGCAATTATCATCAACATCACTGTGGTCATCATCGCCACACGTAATGATCATTACAAACATCATCGTCGTCATCATCACCATCGCCGTCATCATCACTATCACCACCATCACCACCATCATCATTAGCATCATCATCAGCAGCGTCGTCGTCGTCGTCGTCGTCACGCGAGCGCTCTCTCGCGTGACTCAGCTAGCACTGCTATTTGAGCCCTCTGGGAGCTCTCCGAGGCCACGCTGCAAGTCCCGAATAGGATCTCGAAAAGGGCTCCAGGAGGACCCGAAGAGGGCTCCAGAGGGCCCTCGAGAGCAGTGATCGGTAAGTCACGCGAGCGCTCTCTCGCGTGACGTAACTTGCACTGCTGTGAAAGCCCTCTGGAAGCCCTTCCAGGCCGCGTTGAAGGTCCCAAGAAGGGCTCCAGGAGGGCCCGAAGAGGGCTCCCAAGAGCATGGAAAGGGAAGTCACGCGCACGCTCTTTCGCGTGACTGCGTTGTCACTGCTACTCACATCCTCGAGGAGCGCCACCACGCCGCGGTGGAGGGGCCCAAGAGGCCTCATGGGCCGTCTTGGGGCCCCCGGGGGCTGTATTGGAACCTCGTGGGAACGTAGGGGTGGGAGGGGCACGAAACCTGATAAATAACATGGTGTGCGAATACCCTGCTCGCTCAGGCGGTGCCCCTCTGGAGGGGTGGGAGGGGCACGAAACCTGATAAATAACATGGTGTGCGAATACCCTGCCCGCTCAGGCGGGTCCTCCCTGGAGGGGTGGGAGGGACACGAAACCTGATAAATAACATGGTGTGCGAATACCCTGCTCGCTCATGCGGGGCCTCCCTGGAGGGGTGGGAGGGGCACGAAACCTGATAAATAATATGGTGTGCGAATACCCTGCTCGCTCAGGCGGGGCCTCCCTGGAGGGGTGGGAGGGGCGCGAAACCTGATAAATAACATGGTGTGCGAATACCCTGCTCGCTCAGGCGGGGCCTCCCTGGAGGGGTGGGAGGGGCACGAAAATGATAAATAACATGGTGTGAGGAAAGGCATGGTATGGTATGGGATGGTGGATGCATGGTATGGTATGGTAAGGTATGGTATGGAGTGGCATGGTATTGGTATGGTATGATACAGTATGGGATGGTGGAGGAAGCGGGAGGAGGAGGAGGAGGAGGAGGAGAGGATGTTCTGGGAAAACAAGAACCCCACTCAGGATGTGGGGAATTAAGAAGCCAAAAACCTTCAAAAACCCTAGTTGTCTGCCCCCTCAGGGGCGTTCAATGAAATAAACAACCTTTGAGGCCGAGAACAAGAAATGCTTGAGCGGCGCAAGAGGGCCCCAAGACGGCCGCAGGGGCGCCCAAGACGGCCCGAGAGAGGAGGGGCCCAAGAAGGGCAACTCGAGCTTCCTGGGGCCTCTTCCGTCTTTGAGCGTGGAGAAGCCAGAAGGCAGAATGGTGAACACTGTAAAGGGAACATGAGACAATTCAGCAGATTTCGTTTCTCGGGGCTCTCGCAGGAATGTTCTTGGAAGCATCTTGGGCCCTTCTGGAGGCCTAGTGGGCCGTGGGGAGGCCTTCGGGGCGTGTGGAGCGCGTCTGTGAACAATTCGGACCGTTCTTGGATCGTCTTGGGGGCCTCTGGGAACTCTCTTGGGCCGTTTTAGGGCCGTCTGGGCCGCCTCTTGAGCGCCTTGCGTGCCGTGTTGGCACCTTCTCGGGAGAGTCTGAGGCGGTCGTGGGGCGATCTTTGGGCCCCGTGGGGCCGTCATAGAGCGTGGAGAAGCCGGGAAGGAAGAAGAGTGACAACCCTTGTAAAAACTTGTGCACAAATACCCTGGTGTTGTTTCTTAGGGCCATCGTGGGAGTGCTCTTGTAGGCATTTTGGGTCGTCTTGGAATCCCATTGGACCGTGGGGAGGCCATCTGGGGCGTGTTGAGCGCCTCTGTTAGCTTAGCGATTGAAGGTGTTCTTGGGGCGTGCCGGGGTCCTCTGGGAGCTCTCCTTGGCCGTCTGGGGGTCGTCTGGGACGCTTCAAGGGCGCCTCGGGAGCTGTCTTGGGCCGTCTTGGGGCCCCCCGAGGACTACATTTGCACCTTCAAAGAAGCGTCTGAAGCGATCCTGGGGCAACCGTTGAGGCCTCTTGAGCAGTCCTGTTAAAGCGTGGACACATCATAAGGACATGTGAGCATCACACGTATATCGAATACACGTTTATACATACACACATACATACATACATACATACATACATACATACATACATACATGCATGCATGCATGCATCCATGCTTGCATATCTACACACCTATATGCGTGCATACACACATACATACATCCATCCATCCATGCAGGCATCCGCACATACATACATACATACATACATACATACATACATACATACATACATACATACATACATGCATGCATGCATGCATACATACATGCACACATGAATACATGCATACATGCATACATACATACATACATACACATACACATACATACATACACATACATACATACCTACATGCATGCATGCATACAAACATACATCCATATACATGTATACGCATACATACTAGATCCATCGCGCGCTTCGCGCGCGCTCAAGTTCTAGCTAGGCTGAACTGTCGAACCCTTCTGGAATTCTACTTTATGATACTTCTTCTCTGGGGCTTCCAAGAACCACGAAGACGGCCTAAGTGGCTTCCAACACTTCCTACGGTCCACCCACAGCGACCGAAGGCAGGCCCAATAAGCACTTCAGGGGGGCCTTCTATTCGCCGCGGCTAGACGTAGCCCGAGGAAGAGGGAGGAAGAGGAGGTGAAGGGGTTCCCTGGGGGAGAAGGCGGAGGATGAGGAGAAGAAGAAAGAGGAGGAAGAGGAGGATGAGGAGGACACATGTGATTTTTTGTGTGGCAAGCGTAGCCAAGCTGCCAGGCGAACTTGGAAAAACGATCTGTTGGAATCTCCTTGTTTCAAATGCCCTCGGGGTCTCTTTTGGAATTCTTTTGGGTCTGTTTGGGGCTTCTTGGGGGTCTCTTGAGGCCTCCTGGGGGGGAGGAGACGGAAGAGGAGGAGGAGGACGAGGAACTATGATTTGTTTTGAAAACGTAACCAAACTGCCAAGCGAACTTGAAAAACTGGAACTGTTGGAATTCCCTTTGCTCAAGTACCCTCGGGGTCTCTCTTGGGGCCTCCGTGGGCCTATTCGGGGGGGCTTCCTGGGGACCTCCTGGAGGCCTCCCGGGGGGCCTCCCTGGGCGAAGACCTCGGGGTCTCTCGGTGCACGTTCCCGATGCCTGGCCACGGCTGGGGCCCCCTCGGGCCGTCTTGGGCGCCTCTCTGGCCGCTTTGGAACCGTCCTGGGGCGCTTTTGACGCTTCTTGTTCGGGGATGGACGGGTCTAGTGAAAACGAGACGTGGTCTAGTGAAAACGAGGTCGTCGACCTCGGGCTCAAAACTGGCGGGCACAAGCTCGGAAAATAACAGCCGCGGCGCCCTTCTCGACAACCGGAAGCGGACAATTCACGGATCGACGTGTCAGGGTGGGGGTTCTGTCCACCCCCGAGTTGTACCGTCTTGACGCGATCCTCGGGGCCTCTTGGGGCGTCTTGCAGTGTCGGGACGGAAGCGCCAAACTTGTTCAACAACCGATTGAAACACTCATGTTTGTGTGCCTCTTCGAGCTCTCTTAGGAAACCTCTAGGAGGTCTATCGGGTATCTTGGGGGCCTCTTGGGCCGTCCGGAGCCCGTCTTCGATCGTGCCTTCGGCACATCCCGCCACCGTGCCTGGGTTATGGGAGGCCTTTGGATATCGTGGGAGGCCTCTCGGCTGGCTCTGGGAAGCAATTTTGGAAGCCTCTTGGGGGCCGTTTGGGGGCCTCTGGTGGCCTCATTTCGGTCCTCTTGGGAGCCTCTTGGGCTCTCTTGGGGGCCTCTTGGGGCCTCCAGGGGGCCCCTGGGGCGCACAACTCGGCTTGTCGGTTCGTGTTCCCTTCTTGGGCCCCTCTTGGGGCCATCTTGGGGCCCTCGTGGGCGCCTCTTGGGCCGTTTTGGCGCCCTGTTGGACCATCTTGGGGCCTCCTGGGGCATCTGGGCCGTCTTGGGGCGGTCTTGGGAGCCTTTGGGGCTATCTATAAGATTCCCCCGGGAATCCTTTTGCACACAAGCTCCAACATCATCTGTCGTGCAGGGTAGCCCACGAGGCACTCTCCGCTGGGAAGAGACACGCCCAACAATAGCTAACAAATAAATGCCATGCGCGGCCAACACCGACCAACCTCATCGCAACGATGGCGAATTGCCACTGCGCGCGGTCATTTCCGCGAGCCCCATATGAGGACGGCGACGACGACGATCACGACGACAACACAAAACGACGCTAACTCGATTGGATATGCGCGGAAATATATTTCCATCCTTTCGCCGGCAAGCTCAAACATTTTCTGTCGCGCAGGGTAGCGCAGGACAAATTATCCGATGGGAGAAACAACCATTGACAAAACGAGTGGGGAAACGAGTTGAATTTCCAGCCGAGAATTTTGGGGGGAGGGACCCAACGTGAAAAACCCTCTGAAATTAATGACCCCGAACCTACGTAAGATATGTTGCCTTGTGCGCCAGGGGCCTGGCCGGGGACCCAGGAACTGCGGTGCGTTATTCTGTATAGATTTATTGAAATATAGAATCACAAAAATTGCGCCGCACACGTTGCACCACATCGCTTGCACTACATAGATTGCGCTACATAGATTGCATCACCTGTATTGCACCACGTACATTGTCACATCTATTGCGCTAAATACGTTGCACCACTTGTTTTTTTCGCACTTGCCGAGCGCCCAGGGTCGATGCCCCCAGGCGGACCACATAGATTGGACAAAATTTTACTTTCTAGAACGAGATCCGATTCTCCCCCCCCCGCCCCGGAATTAACGGTGACTTTTTTTTTCGTATTGCAATTTACGTCCGATTCTGCCCCGTCGTCCACCCTAAATATGAACTCGTACGATCCGAGCCGAGCCGGTATCGCCCCCTTCCGCCATCCTCTGCAAAAAACTGCATGCGCGCACACTCGCTTATCACAAATCTCAAATTTGCAAGAACCCCTTGCAACAAATACCACAAAATCGGCGCGCCCGCGTCCATGTCAAAATCGAGCCAAACGCCGTGCGTTTGCAAGCGTGTCAGCATACGCGCCTAAAAAATCAATGGTTTCGCAGCACTTTTCTCGTAAGTGTCCGGTGCGCGCGCTCAGGCTACAAATCAAACGAAATCACAGGATTCTGATGCAGTCAGCCAAACCCAGCGATTTCGTGTCCC